ACGAATCTCACATAAAAATATTAATACTATAATTAAAGGTAAAACTCTAGGTTTTCCAATCACTTTAGGAGATTTATAGCTAATACGTTTTTGTTTAAATTAATTATTAAAATTAAAATAATATTTTCAAAAATGTAGAGCCTTCACATTTTATTAATTATCTCCGAAACTATGCATGCCACATACAAATATTAATACTCTAATTAAAGAGAAAACTATAGGCTTTCTAACGTGAATATTGCTTACTTTGTAGCTATTGTCATATTTCTGTAATTAATTATCAAATTTATGCAAAATTAAACAAATATTTTAAAAATTGAATAAATAATATAAATTTGTTCAAAATTAATGATCAAAGCTTTTCGTTTGAATAATTCGGCGATGGTAACCGATGGAATGATATAATGGACTCATCAAAAGCTCCATGTATTGCATGTAGTGGACATGGTAGACAATGCAATAGCAATTTGCCTCTGCTTCCCATACATCAATTATTCAGTAAACTATAGTCGAACAGAGTAAAAGTGAACGAATCGATATGCTTCGGTTATAACGAGCGGTCCAAAACAGACAATAAAATTACAAGAAACAGAAAGTTGTTCCATAATAGTCGAATATTGCTAATTGAACAGACTATGAAGAGAGACACGTTCGAGGTTCGCGTGACCAGATAAAGAATCACCACATCCGTTGATCGTGGATTATTAATGTGGAAAGGCATACACGGAAGGAAATTGTTTACCCTCGATGACCGAGCCAATCAAAATATTTACCCTTTGCGCAAATCACGAATGGGAGCGTCCTCATTACTCCTTCGCGTTGTTGTATTTTTTTTTGTTGGTGGATGCGTCGGGCTACGTTTTCTATTAAGGTCCAGCAATTTCATTTAAATGAGGTCTCGCATGTCCTGTGACATTGATCGCGTTCTGCACGGAATGTCACGTGACAATGACTCTGCTATCTGCATGTGTGAGTTGCGAGTACGAGTGTGAGTATGAGCGGGAGCGGCGCATTAAAATACCCGTAAAGTCTGCACATCAAGCAATACAGACATCATCAGTATATATGACTTTTCACGTTGACTTTTCTCAGTATATATGACTTTTCTCAGTGATCATTTGTCGAACGGCAGTAACTTTCAACAGGTACCACTCGAAATTGGGTTACCAAGGATATAACGGTGTCCTGGCAACCCCGTTTTGTCCTAGGACACGCGACGCCCGGAAGTTCGCTGCAGCCTCGCAATTCGAACGAGACGGCGGTGGCAACAACAACTACAACTACAACTTCTTCGACGAAAGGAATACTTCGTATTATTCCTTTCGTAGAAGAAATATTCGATTGTGAGGAAAGTATGCGATGGCATTTGAATATGAACGGGATGTCGTCGTAGGGCATTTGCAATGCAAATCGGGCGCGAAAAACGCGAGGCACGCGAAACCCGAAACCCGAACGAATAATAATAAGGGGCTTGGGAAATATTAATAAAACGGGGCGCAATAATCATTTTTTTTTTGGAGAGAAATGCAAATTTAGAGCAAAGAATTTACATCCGATTTGCATGCACTTTTCGATCAAGGTCACCGAACAAATACAAAACCATTTTGTTATATTCACACACAATTGGAAGTAATCTCCATGACAACCTTAATCTACCTCTAATATCTAGTTAATTCCAAATATTTATTCAATTACTCTCTTAATGAATTAAAAAGTTGACCCATAATCCAATCTAATCCAACAACTTTTAGATATTACTACAATAGTTTAATAATTAACAGCTGAGTTTAGTGCATATTTCAGTACTAATTATAAAAAAATCTAATCAATAATTGCATCAATTTACTTGTCAAGTCATTGTCAATTATGACGTATTATCCATGACAACCTTAACTTTCTTTTTGGAATAGTTTCCAAGTATTTGTATCCGATTTACAAGATCTTTCTGATCAAAGTGACCAAATAAATACAAAAGCATTTTTCTATATTGAAACGTAATTTGACGTAATCGCCATGACTTTCTTAATGTTATTGTTTCCAAGTATTTATTCAATTACTTCAATGAATTAAAAAGTTGATCCATAATCCAATCCAATCCAATAACTTTTAGATATTACTGCAATAGTTTAACAATTAACAATTGAGTTTAATGCATATTTCATTTCAAATTATAAAGATGTCTAATCAATAAGGGAATTGTATCAATTTACTTGTCAAATCATTGTCAAATATGACGTATTATCCATGACAACCTTAACTTTCTTTTGGAATAGTTTCCAAGTATTTGTATCCGATTTACAAGTACTTTCTGATAAAGGTCACCAAACAAATACAAAACTATTTTTCTATATTGAAACGTAATTTCCATGATTACCTTAATCTTTTCTGTAGTTGTTTCCAAATATTTATTCAATTACTTCAATGAATTAAAAAGTTGACCCATAATCCAATCTAATCCAACAACTTCTAGATATTACTAAAATAGTTTAATAATTAACAACTGAGTTTAATGCATATTTCAGTTCAAATTATAAAGAAATCTAATCAATAAGGGAATTGTATCAATTTACTTGTCAAATCATTATCAAATATGACGTATTATCTATGACAACCTTAACTTTCTTTTGGAATAGTTTCCAAGTATTTGTATCCGATTTACAAGTACTTTCCGATCAAAATCATCAAACAAATACAAAACCATTTTGTTATATTCACACATAATTTGACGTAATCTCCATGACAACCTTAATCTATTCTCTAGTTGTTTCCAAATATTTCTTCAATTACTTCAACAATCTGTTAATGAATTAAAAAGTTGATCCAATAATCCAATCTAATGCAACAACTTTTAGATATTACTACAATAGTTTAATAATTAACAATTGAGTTTAGTGCATATTTCAGTTCAAATTTTAAAGAAATCTAATCAATCTAATCTAATCAGTTCTAATTATAAAGAAATCTCATCAATAAGTGAATTGTATCAATTTACTTGTCAAATCATTGTCAAATATGACGTATTATCCATGACAACCTTAACTTTCTTTGGGAATACTTTCCAAGTATTTTTATCCGATTTACAAGCTCTTTCTGATCAAGGTGACCAAACAAATACAAAACCATTTTTCTATATTCACACATAATTTGACGTAATCTCCATGACTACCTTAATGTATTCTCTAGTTGTTTCCAAATATTTATTCAATTACTTCAACAATCTCTTAATGAATTAAAAAGTTGACCCAGAATCTAATCCAACAACTTTTAGATATTACTACAATAGTTTAATAATTAACAGCTGTTTTTAGTGCATATTTCAGTTCTAATTATAAAAAAATCTAATCAATAAGGGAATTGCATCAATTTACTTGTCAAGTCATTGTCAAATATGACGTATTATCCATGACAACCTTAACTTTCTTTTGGAATAGTTTCCAAGTATTTGTATCCGATTTATAAGCACTTTCTGATCAATGTCACCAAACAAATACAAAACCATTTTTCTATATTGAAATGTAATTTTACATAATCTCCATGACAACCTTGATCCATTCACTTGTAGTTTATTCAATAAATTTATTTGCAAAATTTTCTTAATGAATTAAAAAGTTGATCCATAATCCAATTTAATCCAATAACTTTTAAAAGTTACTACAATAGCTTAATAATTCCTGTTAATTTACTTGTCAAGTAATTGTCAAATATGACAACCTTAAGTTTCTTATACAATAATTTCCAAGTATTTATACAATTACATCAATAAATTTATTAATCCAAAATCCAATAAACTTAACTAAATATTACTGCTATAAAATAATTAACAATTATGCATAAATCACATTTTTCTTAATACTATGAAAGTAAGCAACGAGCAAAGAAAAGCTTTCAGATTGATGCAATTTTCATGTCTGCGAATTTATTTCGTGGAACATTAATGAAAAAAAATTGGACAAGTTACACGTTTATTTTTTTTGTGTGCAAATTAATTAATGGAGAAAAAAAAAGGACGAACGTAACGAGGCGGTGGATTTACGTCATGTTTGACGGTGATGTACATCGGGGGTGAGTAACACACGACACAATAATAAATTCAGCAATATGAGTCATCCATATGTTTTAACCTCATTGGCGCAGAAAATTTTTCAGTAAATTATTTATTTGAAACACAAAGCAAATGTGTGTACTGATGAAATAGTAATTTTATTTGAAAAAAACAAAGAACGTAACAATGGTTGTCATTTCATGAAAGGCAGTTGTTTCCGACTGAAGTTCACTGAATGCTTTCAGCACACTATTTTTGTTTTTGTATAGTTGTATACAATTATGTATGCAATTCTATAATAAATATATGTGAATTATATAATAAAGTCTTTTAACATGGAAAATATAGTTGACATTTAACTCAAGTTTAAAACCTTTAGAACTTAAAAACTTAGATCTTAATACAATAAAAGCTGAATTACAAATGTAGATATATAAACGTGATTATTATTCACTTTTAAGGTTATAATCAAGTTACGTTGCTATGGTTACGTAATTTTTTGTTATTGGTTGTCATGGAAAATGTAGGTTGATTAACATGTTATTGAGAAATACGCGGATGGTAATGGGCATTCTATGGAAATAGGTTGGTGGGTTGAAAATTACAAAAAAAGGTAAACCGATATTATTTGCATCCCCCGGATGAAATGAAACGCCTGATTGTTTCCCAAGATTATAAGATATGCATGATTTACTGGATAAGCGTCGCCGTCGGCCACTCGGCACGCCATTATCGATTCCACGGAATTGGCGGAACGGCCGGGGGGTTGTTTTCCCGGGAAAGAAGGAGCAGCACCCAGGATTCATACAACTATTATCATCAATTATTCAGTTTTTCATCTGCCCGAAAGATATTCCAGTTATTTCTAATATGCACAAGTTTTCTTTCAATTTCTACTTTACTTTCTTTTTTTTTTGATGATTTTCTTTTCGTTACTTTTCTTCCCTTTTCTTTCCAGTGTTCGCAGGGTCGAGCAGCATGGCAGGAGAGGGAAAGAGGGAGACGCTGCTCTCTCTCGGAAGAAGCGCGGCAACACCGCCTCAAACAGAACGAAGCCCACCACAGATGGATGAAAAGGAACAGGGTGAGTTTTTTCGCAACAGATGGCGCTTTTCGCGACGTTGCCGGACACTCGGCTCGGTATTGTGGTGCTGTTTTCTCTTTTTTGATTAATTACATTAAAATCCGCCCCCATTCATTCCAGTAATTAAGGAAGCGCAAAAATTGTATGCCTGAGTACATTTATAATGGAGCTCGACGCTGCGGGAACGGCGAAAAAACAACAACGACGAAGAGATGATGGAACTTGTTGCGCACGGATAAATTCATTTTGTTGCCAACCTCCCCCTACTTGTTCTCCTTTTTCTTTTATAGTTACTGCCGCCATTTCCACTTGATGGTATTCCTGCCTATCGCGCAGACACTCATTTTTTATGTCTTGTTTTAAATTTACACAGAGATTACCATTTTTTACACAGCAAAATGCACGTATATATTACATTAAAACTTGCATAAACTTTCTCCTTCCTTCTCTTTCTCATCAGGATAATCTATATTTAAAAAAATAATCACAGTATTCGAAGCAACATCATTTTTCCAAAACCTGAAGGGGGAAAGTTTTCAATTAATTTTTGTTTGTTCCAATTTAAGAATTTTATTTTGACAAACTTCACATTAAATCTACTGCACACATTTTATTGCATTCAATTTTCGTATTACAGTGATTCGTTCAATTAGATTTCAGTTCTTAAATCAGCGGTCGGGGAACCGGGGTAAATTACCCAAAATGGGGTAAAAATTAAATTTTTTTGGGTAATAGGGAAATTTTTCTAATTTCATCTTACCAAACTCAGAGAGCGGTTCTCTGACTACTTTTCAGATCTTGATGTACAAACTGTGAATTGGGTTGTAGATCCTTTTAAATGTGAAATTACTAACATACCAGCAGAACCTCCAGGTTTGGCAGAGGCAATTCTTGAACTTCAATCCAATACTGAAGCACGTATTCAATTTGAGACCAGAGCAAATCTGTCGTCTTTTTAGTTGTCAAAGGTAAAAAAATTGCTGCCATTTGCAACAACCTACCTTTGTGAACAAGGCTTTTCCACTGTAATGAACATAAAAACGAAAAACAGAAATCGGGTAAACGCCGAAAACTGTATTCAAATTGCTCTTACGTCAAAAAATCCCAATTTGCAAGTAATTATATCAAACATGAAGCAACATCATTTTTCCAAAACCTGAAGGGGGAAAGTTTTCAATTAATTTTTGTTTGTTCCAATTTAAGAATTTTATTTTGTTTGTCTATTACTATTTGTTACTATTTTCATGTAACGTTTTTTTATAAATATGTAAATGCAAATTAATTCAATAAATAATGTTTATTTCAAATTTACATTGATTGTTTTCTATTCAGAATGGGGGGGGGGTAATATCGACTTACGCAATAATATTTTGGGGTAATGGTATACATATACATATTTACATATTGACTATGTTAAGAAATGGTAAATCATTGAATCTATATAAAAACTTGTCTTCATTCCAATGTACTATATATCAATGAAGATTAATAAACATTGATTCTGATTAATGCATGTGTGCACAATTGGTTTATAAAATTTTCATATGAATGAAAGAATAGATGAATGATTATTATCTTAGAGAATCTAAAGAAGTCTGAATTAAAAATGTTAATCAATATTTGCTCTTAATATGTTGAGGATTGATAGAATTGAATGATTATCAGGGCTGTCCTAAGAAATTTCTCTTCATAAGAAAATTGCCGTCACATAAGGCTGTGATCCTGATGATTATGTTGTCGTGTCCCAGTGTTGGTTTTCTGGACACTGTGGGATACCTTTTTCTGTTGTCTGTTGTGGAGCCTTAGGTTTGGTAAATAATAAATTGAACGAGTTTTACTTTTGGTTTATTATTAAAATATTCGATACGACTTGATTCTTTTGCGTTCTTCCTAAGACTAATTACAAATCCTTACTCTACGTATAAAGTTAACTAAGCAAGGGATGGAAGTTTGAGGAGTAAGCACAATTTTGATAAGACTGCTCCTATAAGGATTTTGCCAATTCTGCGTCTGGTTGAAAATATGAGCGATGTTCTTTCAGTAGCTGGTCTCGATGAAGGCTACCTTTATGCTGATGTATATATTTATTATGGCGACTAAAAGACACTGTATTAACAATAATAATTGTAATAATAACGGTTGGACACAACAATGTTGACTAATAAACATTGGTGATGATGGTTCTGATGGATGTATGTTATATGTTGTAGATTCATGACACAACGTATGGTGGAAGCAGCGACGACGACGACTTCTTCGATGCGTACCATCAGAGTGCAGCGGCGAACGCCCTCCTGTACGTGGGTCTCGGGACGACGGCCATCGGGAGTGTGATATTCTTCGTCGGGACCGGTGAGAAGGGCTTCAAGACGTTGGAGCTCCGGCTGATCGGACCGACGCTGATAGCCTGCGGCCTACTTTGCTGCCTAATTCGCGTCCTACTGTGCGCGTGTCCCTCGAACTGTTTCCGCAGACGGAAGAAGACGCGTCTCAAAAACGAGTGTCCCCACAATTCGAGCAGGTACCCCTTGACCCGCGACCGAAGCGTAACGAAACGAACAGGAAACGTCGCCCCGTCGACGTCCCTCCTCTCGCAATCCACTGCAATCGACAAACATAAAAAGAAAGTGTCCATAGTCACGAACAATCCTAGCAGCAGCGATCCGCACCCGAATCCCGTACCGAGCACGAGTTCCGGTAATTTCCAGGAGGAACGCGTCGGCCTCATCCAGAAGAGGAAGCAGGAGGAAATGCAGACGGGAGAAGCGTCCGGCATCTCGCAAACCCTGATCCCGATCATCACGATCCCCGATCAGGATTACTTCGAGATGAACGAACGGAGGAGACGGATGTCGCGCGAGGACTCTCTCATCGAGCTCGAGAACCTGGACATCATCGCCAGCTACGAACTGCAGAGCGTTTCGAGCGTCGAATCCGAGACGGTCATCGAGGTCGACTGCCATCCCAAGGAGACGAAGCACACCAGGACACGCGAACCAGCGCTTCTCAGTGCATTAGATGGACCGTCTCACCATCAGACGGAGACCTCGTTAAGTGTCGTTATCGAACGTGCGGATGACAATAGTGATAGGAACCCTAGAAAGGACGAAGCGAGCGCCGGTAGTGAACGAAGGGAAGCGCACAGCGGAATCGTACTAAGTCCCTTGCAGCTGGGACAATGAGTAGAAGAGTTGGTGGTGGAGGAGGAGGAAGAGAAACCGAGCGAAACTAAAAACTATAAACATATATATATATATATAAATATATACAACACACATGAACACACATAATGATATATACATGTCTACATATTTCTAAATGCCATTTATATATAAATATATATTGAAATCCACCGGTTACTAGACGCAACTGCAACGCGCCACGATCTGACAATCCCGATTTCCCATCCGAGACAATCCCCAGTAATCATCATCCAAAAAATCCTCAAAAAAAATCCAAAATTTGTTGTCTTTGCTTAATTAATCTTGATACTTAAGTTTCCTATGAATATAAAGACAAAAAAATCCGGCAACGAAAAATTTGTAGAATCCTCCTCCTCCACTCGCGGCACTCTTCATTTGCGTTCGACGAATACGTGTCGCGTGATTGATGGAAGCACGAGAGCCCCGGGAGGAGCCGTAAAAGGTTTCCTTTTTTTTATTTATTTATTTATTGTATAGTGGCCTATAAAAATCAGCGTAAAAGAGGGAAGAAAACAAGGTTAATAGTACATATAGGCTTGGTCTTGTAACTCAAAAAAAAAAAAATAGAAAGAAAAACAAACGGCGTTATGCAGTTGCGTTTTAACCGCTGGAAACGATGAAACTGTTAGTACCTACATGGAATTGATAAGGCGGAATGCTCCACTGGATTATTTCATCGTCTAAAATGAATTGAGGGTACATTTCACCCTCGAAATAAACTGAAAAAATAAACATATAATAATACTAAACTAAATGAATAATGATAAATAGCATTGAGGATGCAGCTGGGATTCAAGTTTATTTAAATCTTATCATTATTATTGTAAAGCTAGTAGAGTCGAAAGCTTCGATATACAAGAGAGAGAGAGATGATATGAGGATAATAAATAAATGTATAGTGGATATTATTATAGATGATGAAACAGAATAATCTACAGCTTGTGGTATATGAAAAATAATAATTTAAAAAAAAAATGAATGGATCTGAATGTGTCTCAAACACGACGACATATCAAATTGTTTAAGGGTTAAATTAATACATCTAATTTCTACATTAAATAAATAAATGTTGTATGTCTAGGTAGAAACTAATGACTAAAATTTAACCGAACAAAGAAAAAAAAAATGAAGACGGTTGGTGTATAAATACTACTAAATATTTAGGGAATTTAACAAAAAAAAAATGAAAATGCTATATATATATATTTAAACGAAAACTCTTAAAGACGAAGAATTTAAATGCGCATAAATCGGATTCTCGCCAAAAGTCTTCGCTTTTGTAGGTCGTGATCCGAAGTTGAGGTAATCCAGTGGAACGTTGATACTGACCCATCTCGAAAAATATAAATAAATTAATAAAAATAAATATGTATATTCATTAAAGAAAAGAAGAAAAACAACAAAATAAATATATTATATTATTATGTATACACACACAGAGAGCGTTAAAAGTTTTATTTTTTAATGATGTTAATTGTTATCTGAATTTGGTCCTGCCCAAAACACCAAAAAACACCCTTACAATACCCCCCCCTACAACCCCTTTCTCTCTCTCCCCCCAAAAAAAAAAGAAAAAAAAACCCTGCCCCCCTAACAAACAAAACAACAAAATCCACGAATTAAGCTAATTTGGAGCTGAGTTTTTCAAATCCAAGAAGGAAACAATTTTTGTAATTAAAAATTTGCTATAACCTAGTGTGCCTAGTTCTTTTTTATTCTATACAATTTTTACATATGCTTCACCCATCATCTCCCCCTACCCCTTTACAATTTATTTATTTTTTGGTTTATTACAAAAACTGTAAATGTTCGACATTTAGCAATATTATTGGCCTAATTTTAAATTATACGTACTCTCTATCTCTACTAATTTCGACATTGTGTCATAACTTTGTTTGTTTAATTTCTGTTTCGTTTCTGTTAACTTTATTAACTGTTTGCTTTGTAAGTGCGGATTCAAACCAAGCGTTAACTCGAGCTGAACTGTGTCTTCTGAATGTTAACGCCCGATTTGGAGCCGCGCAGCCACAAGGGTTGTAATAACTTCAATTATTATGGAAAGAGGAAAAACGTTTATAGAATTTTTTAGATGCCTTAGCCAGATTGTATAAATATATATATATATATATAAATATGTGCATACATATACGTGTATAACGTTCATACATGCATATATGTATATAATATTGGAGCAGACCGAGAGAAACGAGGAAAACAAACAAATAAGAAGAAAAAAAAGAAGGAGTTACATGGAAACAGTCTTCACGTTAATTATAAGGACATCGTTAGTTATTAAATGCGGAACAAAAAATAAATAAATCTATACTGAAAAATCATACAAAATCTATTATTTAAAAACGAAAATACAAAAAAAAAAGAGATATTGAACATATTCCAATAAATTGTATGTAAAAAAAATAAAAAACGATTATACTTGATTCTCGATTTATTCACTTCCTTCTTGTAGATAATTAATATCAACTTCAATAAATTCAAAACTAGAAAAGTTATTAAACTTTGTCTCTTTGGTAAAGTTAGTAAACTAAAAAGTTATTATTTTTGATGTTATGTGTAAAGATTTATTATGCAAACGTTAATATTTCATAATTCTATTAAAATTGAATATTTCTCTAAATTATGAAGTAAATAGAAATCCTGGATACGGTCCTGCTTATGCAACTTCTATCACTTATAAATTTAGCCTATACAATTGTGATACAATTCCTAACCTTAAATAAAAGATTTTTAATCCGTGCAAAGGTTTAAATAAACAAATACAATGGCAAGCAGTCGTTTGGAGAAGATTGGAACGATTTACACAAGGTTTCGTATAAATTCGAATTGCTTTTAATTCATGCAAAGTAATATGGAATTTTTATTTAGAACAAGGGGGCTGCTGCAATCAGGTGCAATGTCTTGGAACGATAGACCTCTCTGGTATGACATATACGAAGCTTTCCCCCCGAAAGAGGAGCCCCGTTACGATCGACCAGCCCCAAACATGCAAGTCAAAGAGATTTTGTATGAAGAAGACATAATCCGGGCGTAAATATATGAAATCTTATTGGATTTGTACTTGATACTAATAAGCAATGCTTTTAGGAAGGTTCACAGTCATTTCAAGAGTGTTGGCACAGTGAACCTGAGGAACAACCAGACCCAAACCTTAACCCAGAAATTCATAGATTGCTACAACAAATTGGGAGCTCAGTATGGAAATGAGGCTGATTCACAAATTCTGTTCGATGAGACTTTGGACATTCTGAAGAAGGAAAGGGAATTGAAAGCAATTGAAGCTTCGGAGGATTCAAGCGCTGGCGTTAATATTACTACCAATTTCACTGAAGCTAAGAAACAGCAGGCTGTTAATATTAATGTTAAAGATATATTTAAAGATTGATTTGTGGTGATCAGTGAATGTAGTTGTATGTAAATAATAAATGATTGATTCTAAATATACACAGCGCTTATTTTTTTGGAATGGTCGAGGTGGTTGCCTTCTTCATGGGCATACTCGGACTTTTCTTGGTAAAATTATTGAAAGCAGAGCGCGTTTCCGATCTACCGAATTCTTTATACTTGTAGCCTTTCTTCAGCAAGTTTATCAGCATGCACGGTTCGTCCTCGCCGACATCGAGCTTCATCTCGTCGTTGCGGCCGCTCTCGATTTGCTTCTCGAGTTCGGCCAACGGTTTTTGCAGAGACTTACGCAAATTCTGTATTATTATGAACCATTTCTTCAGTTGCCTGTAATTATCTAATGGAAAATAAGATGAGATTACTGAACATTTTAAAACGTACCACGAGACGGTGAATCGTTTTCCGTTCGGAACTTGATGACTTTCTTCTTCATCTTGTGGTTTTCCAGAGCCTTAATTAAACCTTGTCCCCTGGCCTCCAAATAGCAGATCATTGGGGCCAATTGGTCTTCGGTTATTAACGTGTGATGGAGCAGAAACTTGATTTGCCTCAGATTCATTTGCTAAATTTCAGTTTTAATGATAGAAATGTAAATAAAATTTGATGAGTGAATCATACTTCAAAGAAAAACGGCTTCACTTGCATAATCAGGTGGCTCAAAGCCACCAAATTGTAAATCTCTTGAGCCTTCTCTTCCTTTCCATCCTCGTACGACGTGCTCAGGATCCTCTCGATTCTCAAAAGGTAGAGCTTGTGCAAGATCAGACGATCGTTCATCGACTTGTTCTGGTGCTCATAAATGACCATGGGATTGTGGTCGGCGCAATAACTGAAGGCCTCCAAAAAGTTCTCGTCGTATCGATGTAAACTACGCAAAGCGGAAATACTCAAATGTTAGTGTTAATGTGTTTTTGTTCCTAAATCTAATACCATTCAACGTATTTGTTTGCGTAATACAAGATGTTATCATCCGCTCCCATTATTTCCATCACCGGTGTAATACTTCTTATGATATTCACGGTGAGGGAATGTCTCTGGATCCCTGTATCCCGAAGAAACCGTTCGTATATTTCGTTTTTGGTCTCCATGTCGAAAAGCATGCTCGGACTGGCCACTACATCGTCGGAGGTATCTGATTCGTTGGAATCTAAGGAAGGATTGGAAACCGAATGCGATGCTTGAGCTATGTTCAGCATCTTCTCGATGATGGTCTGCCTGTTCTTCATGTCGCGTTCCTTCTGCGACGAAACTCCACCACCCATTTTGTTTTCTCAACTCGACAAAGAAATCAGAGCACATAAATTTCACAAGATTTTGACAAGAGACTGATTCTGACGCGAACAATTTGTTTCATTAAAATGGGTGTTCCTTTTCCAAAAAGCTGCGTTCCTCCGTACAGCGGCCTCCAGAACGATGCCATAGTTCGGCACGTTAGGAAGCTGGCTGCAACCGCCTCTTTTTCCAATCCCTCGATAATGTCTACGACGCGTTTAGAAGAAATTAGCTACGTGGAAGTCAGTCCGAGCGTTTTATTCAACAACGATTCGATGAAGAGCACATACAAGAAGTTCTGTATCGAGAATAACTATGGCTTAAATGAAATTAACGCCACCATCTTAAGAGTAATTAGCAATTTAAACGAATCTCTGGCCACCGACGAGCACATACTTTACATTTCCAAGAAATTCGTCGAATGGTAACAAATTCAAGTTTCCATTAATTGCAAGTAATCTAAGCTTTAATCAACAGCATGAACGAATACAACACTACACACATCTCTGACTTCACTGCGGGATGTCCAAGAAATCCAATGTTCATGTACGAACATTCGAATATGACCATCAAGGAACGACTCATCATTCACAACATGTATTATCTGCGTATAGAAAAACTTCTGCTCACGTACTTCGAAGATGGCAAAGATGATTTGGTAGAGGAGATTTTCGTTTGGATAGCTCTCAGCCATTTGCTGATGAACGTCCCAGAAGAAGCGTTCGATGTACACTCAAGCATTTTCAGTTTACTTGCATCATTCACTCATTATTAAATTTGCAGATTTTGTGTCTGCTGCAAGTAAAATATTTACTGCACATCAACGTGCTTACCGATGAGAACAAGGCGACTTATATTTATTATATCCAAACTGTTAAGAACCGGATGATGAATGCAAGGAGATATGTATTAAATCTGCAGACGTTGCACATAGCAGGGCCTGACGGTATGAAGGATTGGATGTACAGGGAGAATTATAGGCAGCTGAAGAAGTGGAAGAATTTGGTTTTCAACATCCACAGAGGATTGATGAAACCCATTGAAACGTTTAAGAAGCAAATCGAGGAGTCCAAGCAGTTGCATTACGACGACATCACTAACGAAGATGTGGAGCACTCGAAGCTTATCAGAGTTTTAAAGAAAGGATACAGATTCAAAGATGTCAATGAGACGCAATTGTTTGATCATTCATAAATTTAGCTAAGAATTACTTTTAGATAAAAATTACAAAATTAACAATCGTAAATAATGAAGAAAGTAAAATTTAAGTTTTATTGGACCCAAAATAGTACCCTGTGGGACGACTGTTTAAAATGGAGTTTTTGCAACAAATTTATAAAAATTGATAAGAGTTTATGCTCTTATTATGTAATTCTACTTAGAATTTCTTTAATTTCTCAATTTTAATAGACACAATTTATAATGTCGCTAATAAAAGATTTGTTATGTAATTGTAATAAACAGGTTCGAAACATGAGAATCATTTTAAAAACAAATCGAAGATAATGGATGCATTCGTTAATTGATTGAACAGCGTCGAATCATTGTACCAAAGTCCCAGGCAATTACGTAATGGTAATGTTTTGAAAGTGTGCGCAACCTTGGAGTGTAATCTGTAAACGATAATATGTGAAATTGGTTGCCTGTTGTTCAGTCCAGTAACCCTAAATTGACTGTGGGACACGTCTCAGTTTGTTGTTTTTAATTTTAGTTTTTTATTTTCATTATAATAATGCTAGCGAAAACTGGCCTTCTGGTCGTCTCAAATCCGACGCACCTGAACAAGATCCTGTCGAGCGTGCGGAGCCAAGTGAAGAACACCCTCTACATTCAATTGCTCTCAGCACTTGGAGAACCCTTTGGTTCCTTCCATCAAAACATCTTCACAACTTGGCCAAAATTCAGCCAAACCATCTCAAAGATTTACAGCCAGGTAATGAAGAGAATCCAGACAAACAAACAAAAAAAAAATATGATGATAATGTAATATAGCTCAGTTTGAAATCTGTACTTTCAGGCTGCTTGCGAATGTGAGCATTTAGATGTTAGGGTTCTGTTGTCCGGATTGAAGTACAGCAATCTGAAAAGCATCCAGACACAGAGGCCCATTGATTTGGTTATATTCGATAAGAAGCACAATGAGAGTGATGTGGATGCTTTCTTGAAAGGGCGTATCAGCAATAAGACCAGTGGTTGTGGTGTTATTACTATACCTTCTGAGCATCTGGAGCAGTTAGACTTTACTGTTGGAGATGGCTCAGACAAGACTTACAAGCATACAGTGTTGGGGGGAACCTTCGACAGGTTGCACACAGCTCACAAGTTGTTGCTAACAGAAGCTGCACTGAGGGCAACTGACAAGATTACTGTGGGTGTGACTGAAGAGAATATGCTGACATGTAAATATTCTCATACGCTCTATTTACTGATTCTACATTATTCTTTTGTGATTTCAGCTAAAACCCTGTGGGAATTGGTTGAACCGATTGAGGAGAGGGTTGAGGCAGTGGAGAACTTCTTGAAGGACATCTGTCCAGAGTTAACTATTAATGTTACACCGATCGCGGATCCTTTTGGACCCACCCAAAGTGATCCGACAATGAACTTGTTGGTTGTCAGCGCAGAGACTTTGAAGGGTGGCAACAAGGTCAACGAGGTGAGGGCGGAAAAGGGTTTGGACACTTTGGAGGTGCTTTCGATCGACTTAATCGACGAACCGAATCCTTGCGCAAATGAAGAAACGAAGATTAGTTCTAGTACCGGTAGGATGAGGTTGCTGGGTTCTTTGCTGAGGCCGCTGGAACCGAAAGAAATTGAACAAAAACCTTACATAATCGGATTAACCGGTAGGATTGACATCAACATGGTATTATTGTTAGTACATGTTATATATTTTACAGGTGGAATTGGTAGCGGAAAGTCTGGAGTGGCGAAGAGATTGGGAGAGCTTGGAGCGTACGTTATAAACTGCGATGTTGTTGCTCACGACTTATACAAACCCGGCAGATCGTGCCACAAGGTGCTGGTCAACGAATTCGGATCGAGGATTTTGAGCAAGGACGGGGAAATCAACAGGCAGATTCTAGGTGGTATCGTCTTCAGCGATCCGGAGCAAATGAAGAAGTTGAATTCGTTGATCTGGCCCGCGATTGCCGATGAAGTGAAGAACATGATTTCCGTCTCCGACAAGCAGGTCGTCGTCATCGAAGCCGCGGTCCTGCTGAACGCCGGATGGCAGGACTTCTGCCACGAGGTTTGGACCACTCTAGTTCCTAAGGACGAGGCGATCGCGAGATTGAAGAGCAGAAACAAACTTACCGAGGATCAGGCGATAGCCAGGATCAACGCGCAGGCACACAACACGTATTACGTGGAGAACTCGAACGTCGTGCTGTGCAGCCTGTGGCCCGTCGAGTACACGAGGAAGCAAGTGGATAAGGCTTGGGACCTCCTGCAGACTAGACTCCTGTAAAGGATATATTCAGAAATCTTATTAACTTCTTTTTGTTATATCTCTTTATGTTGCATATTTTATTCGCTGTTGGTTGGAGTAAATAAAAATATTTTTAATACGTGTTTATTCTAAATATATATGCAAGCATCGAATCACCGCTCATTCATCATCACCCAATTTCTACAAGAATTTTTGTTAAATTTGTAAACAATATTATTGAAATAAAACTTTATTATGTTTAAAAAAAATATAAATATGCACAAATCTGATTTGATTCGTTAATTATTTGCATACATTTTTTTACTTATAACAAATAGGTTACTAAATACTGTTGTTTTCTCAAGATACCAGAAGCCTCCATACATTCAGATAAGCACCCTTATCTACTGAAAAAATGTAAATTTAGTTGCATATTAGTTACAACACACTTGGACTTTGCACAGTCTAAGAAAGATAGTCAAAAAACCGGTGTTATTCCATAGCAGTTGGAATCAATCTTTGATTGAGTAAGGTAATGGCAATGAAATTCTATTACGATTTGCTCTCGCAGCCCTGCAGGGCTTTGTACATCGTCCTGCAAGCATCGAAGATACCGTACGAAGCTTGTCCAATCCCATTGAAAACAGGTAATTAATTTGCAATGGCTGCCAAAACAAATCAATTAATATTAACTAAGAATGCTTTAATTGTAATATTTTCAATACTTTTAGGTATGCACTTGAGTGAATCATTCGCGAAAGACGTATCGAAATTTCAAAAACTTCCCGTCATACACGACAAAGATTTCAGATTAACGGAGAGGTAATAAAATACAAATGAATTATTTGCAAAAATCCACGATTATATATCTCATTGGAATTTAGTGTGGCGATTTTGAAATACTTGGCGAACGAAAAGAATTTGTCAGATAAATTCTATCCAAAGGATAGCAAGAGTCAAGCCAGAGTCGACGAATTTCTATCATGGCAACATCACAACATCCGTGGTTTCTGCACTGGTTATTTCAGAATGAAGGTAATTTATCGTTTCTTAAATAAATAAATAATTAATTATTTTTTTTTTTCAAATTTCAGTGGTTGATGCCTTTAATCACTGGACAACAAAGTTCTGAAAGACATTTGAAAGGATCCAAGCAAAATATGTCCGATAATTTGGATTTGTTTGAAAGCCTCTGGTTATCAGATGATAAATTCATCACAGGAGGAACACCGAATGCGGCCGATATTTGGGCTGCTTGTGAAATTGAACAAACTCGTCAGTTTGAGAAATAATTGTGGATAAATTTGAGTTTAATTTGTATATTTTTAGGCATTGCTGGTTACAATCCTTGCGAAGGACGTCCGTATTTGGAGGCTTGGCTGCAGAAAGTTAGAGAGGAACCGTTTTACAAGGAAGCACACACTATTGTCGAAGCAATTATTTCCAAACAATAAATCTTCATCAAATGCTTTTTGCATCTATTTTCTTCGTTGAAACAAACTGATTACAATTATTTTATAATATAATTAAAAGTATATAAAAATATATTTATAATTGCAATAAAACTCTGCTGTTATAGGCAACTATATTCACTTTATTAATTAGACTTATTTTCATCATTTATCGTAATTAATCTCTTGTTTTCTCCTAAGAAGGACCAATAAAAACAATAGTTGATTTCAATTGTTGCACAACGTTGATTTTAAATATTCATTTTAGTTACAATTAAATAAAATTTCCTAAATTCCTCCTAAATTTTCTCAATTTTCTTATTATTACACACACGTATATAATGTAAGCTTTTTGTTTCATATTAAATTACTATTGACTTTGAGATGACTTTAACTAAATGTGTTTGTTCGTTAATATTTAACAGATCAAAAATAATATATTTGTAGTGATTATCTTGTTGACTGTCTGTGTTTCGTATAGCTAAGATGATATGGGAAAATATGGTAAGAATTCTCTACAAAAAAAATTAATATTTACTTTTTAATATCGATACTTTGTGGAATTTCTATATTAAATCAAGTAAATATAAGCTAAATTATTGTTTTAATTAATTAAATTATTACTAAATTCTCATTTTTCTATTGGTTTTCAATGTATTAAATTATTATTTAATTAGTATTTTTTTTGACTAAAAATTATCTCTAGTCTAAAAGTCTGTTAAATATACAAAGATCATTGTATGAAATTGAGGTCTTGATGATATTAATTGGTAGTTATCATTATTATAAGAATATTTATTAATGATTTAAATATGCATATTTTTTTATTGTCTTTTTAGTAAATCCTATTTGCATACATATACACTAATTTAATTGTCTCCATCCAACGACAATTTCATCTTAAATCTTCTCTAAAGTCTACATAATGAATAGTTATAAAGTGTCTTTTAAAAATTTCAAAATATTCTTTCTTTAAGTTTTAAGACTTTAAATTGATATACCAAATATTTTGTCTACATTAGTAAGTAAAAATTTGTAAGTAATTTATTTTTAGAACACTTTGTGTCCTAATTTCCTTGTACTGTTTTTCATTGATTCCATAATGTATTATTCTTTCATCTTCTGAAACAGCTTCTAAATAAGTGCATAAAGTTAATTTTTCTGTTTGTCACTAAAATAAGCAGCCTTTAGGTTTATGTAAGATCATTTACATTACTTTCATACCCTAAACTACATAAAATTTACATTTTTTTCTTTCATTCTTAGAAATTTGCATTTCAGCTAAATATTTCCTACAACAATTGTAACTTTGTATATAATAAAACATATAACGGATCTAGAAAATGGAATTTCCTGAAACTTGAAAAAATAAGAATTTTCCTCATGAAATAACATAAATTTTGAAATGTGTACATTATTTTATATAGACAACCAAATTTGCACGACTAATCTGCTTGGTTGCATATTCTGATTAATTGTCTGAAGTGCTAATGATAATTGGATGGTGCTAATTCGCCAGAAGAAGAAGAAGATAGATTAGAAAAGAGTTTTAGCATTAATCCAAGTCTATTTATTTTTTGTTTAATAATCATAAAAAAAAACAAATAATAGTTCTTTAATTTATGTTACAAATATATTTTTATATTTAAAATCTTCTTGGAATTAATTCAATACTAAAGAATCTCGTAATTAATGAAAATTTGTTGTGGTAACTTCTTATTATGTCGTCGTTATTACTATTGATATAAAGGTAATTTGTTGTAATAGATGAACAGAACAATTTGATAATAATTTTAACATTAACAAATTATTTACAATTTAACTAATTAAGGCATTAATTAAAACATTTAATAATTTGTTGTAAGATTTTACATGTATCCATGGAAATTGATGAGCAGCGCCACCTCGTAAAAACGGAATGCGCTCGAACTAAGTTTCGCGTCAACAGCGCTAAAGTTATAAATCATTAAGTGTTCACAATTAATTTATTACATTAAAATCCTTACTTTTTACTTTACAATTATTAGACGATTTTAATTCTGACAAAGACGAATATCCTTGACTTAATTCAGTTGCTTTTTTCGGATGATTTGACAAAAAAAAATGGAAAATGTTTGCGCAAAACTTTGATAATAATGATCTAGTTTAGTAAACCTTGCAGCTTTATACTTAATACTTAACCTTGAGGCATTGGGTGATTTTTTTATTATTATTATAATAATAAAAAAAAGGGGATTTAGACAATGGATTTGTAATTCTGCTCGTGCCCAAATATTTAGTTTCCTAGATAAGCACGATACGACTTAAAAAAAGTGAAGGTTATTGAAAGAGAGAGAAAATAATTTGATATCATCTAAATTTAGGTCAATTTTTAAATTTTTGATGGAAATTTTGATATTTTGTTTCACTTAAATTTCATAGATTTTGCTTGAAAATGATTTAAAGTATTAAAGTGTATTGATGGATATGTAGAAGTGAATTGATTGTTTCCCCCTGTCGAGTGAGTTACCTGTTTGGTGCTATGAGTCATGACTTAAAAATGAGTTGCATAGGTAAACAAATGGCGTTGGGTCAGTCGGGTTGGTTCGATGCACCTAGAACCATTAAACCATCGGCAACCAGCAGCAATGCTTGCAACGCGAAAAACAAGTCGGACGGCATTGTGTTACCATCGAAGGGGTGATGTTTCGGCACCAAAAAAAAACATCGCCAAAAGAACCATCGCGAAATACACAAGAAATCAATCCGAGAGGGTGAAAAAAGTTTCAAATCTTTCCATCTCACAAGTAATTATTTATCGTTTTGATATAATTGTTGTCTTTGTGAAATATTCAAAAAAAATTGTTCAATTGTGTGTTAGTTTTTGATACTTTTTCTTATTCTTTGTTGTTTTATTTTAGAAATTGATAAGTAAATCTTTGGAAATCTTAGCTTATGTCCTATTCGAATATTTAAAGTTCTTAATTTTTGAAATTGGCCTAAATGTTGTTGTCTTTGTGAAATATTTAAGAAATTAGCAGGTATGATGTCAAATCTTCGGTTTCTTCCTTCTACTGTAATTATTTATTAGTATTTGATATTGCTGTTGTTTTATTGAAATAGTACTAAGAAATATTTTATAATTATTGTTGAACTTTGAATTTGTTTTATAATTTGTTGGTTTATGATGTAGTCTTTTCGTAATTCACAAAAAATAGATTCGTAGCTTCATTTACCTACAATTATTTTTTTACAAAAGAAATCAAATCATGTCAACAATGAAAACAACAAAGTATAAATAAATGATAGAGACACCAAACTGACAAAATTTCAATTTCTAATACCAATCTTTACGGTTTTGATATTTTTATTGTTCGAAATCCATAAGAAAATGTTGAAGCTTAGGTTCTTTCTTTTTAGAAGAATTATTTATTTATCGTTGAACTTTGAATAAGTTTTATCGTTCTTAATTTTTGATATTGTTATAATTGTTATTATCTTTGTGAAACATAAAAGAAATCTTAGTATTCTTCCTTCAGTAGTAATTAATTATTTATAGTTAGACACTAAATATCTTTTATCTTGTGTTACTTGTTGAAGATGAAGAATTTATTTATTGTTGAACTTTGAATGTACTTTATCGTCGTTAATTTTTGATGTTTTCGTTATTTTTGCTGTCTTTCTGAAATATACATGAGAGTAATTGTTGCTGCTTTGTGAAATATAGAAGGAATCGGTAGGATTTCTTCCTTCAGCAGTAATTGTTTATTTATCGTTACACGTTAAATATGTTCTATCGCGTGTTAGTATTTTATATTGTAACTAATACAAAAAATCTGTCAGAGCTTCAGTTCATCTTTTTGTTGTCTTTTATCGTAGTAAATTTTTGATATTGTCGTAATTGTTGTTGTTTTTATGAAATACACAAAGAATGGGTAAGATTTCTTCCTTCAGCATTATTTATTTATTGTTAGACTTTAAATATGTTCTATCGCGTGATAGAAAATCTATGGGAGAAGCGGAGCAATTATTTAATTATTATTGAACTTTGTATGTGTTTTATCATTTGTTAGTTTTTGATGTGGTCGAAACTGTTGTTTGTTATAAATAGATTCTAGAGGATGGAAAAGCTTTGAATCTTTCCATCTAGATCAATTGTTTATAAACGTTACACTATAAATACAATAAAAAAATATGATGAGACTGGTTCTTTCCTTCTGGATCTATTGTTCAATTATCTTGCAGTTAGTTTTTCGATATTGTTATTGTTTTATTGAAGTAACATTAAGAAATCTTTTTTATTTTTTATAATTATTGTTGAACTATGAATTTGTTGGATTATGATTTACCTACAATTAGATTTTCACAAAACAAATAAAATCATGTCAACAATGAAAACTACAAATTATAAAGTATAAAGTATAAATAAATGATAGAGACAACAACCAAACTGACAAAAATTCAATTTTCAATCCCAATCTTTACGGTTTTGATATTTTTATTGTTCGAAATCCATAAGAAATGTATCTATGAAAATGTTGATAGAAGCTTAGGTTCTTTCCTTTTGGAAGAATTATTTAATCATCGTTGAACTTTGAATAAATTTTATCGTTCTTAATTTTTGATATTGTTGTAATTGTTATTATCTCTGTGAAACATAAAAGAAATCTTAGTATTCTTCCTTCAGTAATAATTAATTATTTATAGTTAGACTCTAAATAACTTTTATCTTGTGTTAGTTGTTGATATTCCTCTATTGACTTTGTGAAATTAACAAGAAATCTATCAGAGAAGATGAACAGAAATCTTTTTGAAACATTTATTTATTGTTGAACTTTGAATGTACTTTATTTTCGTTTCGTTGCTGCTTTGTGAAATATAGAAAGAATCGGTAGGATTTCTTCCTTCAGCAGTAATTGTTTATTTATCGTTACACTTTAAACATGTTTTATATTAGTATTTCATATTGTTTTTAACTAACACAAGAAATCTGTCAGAGTTTTAGTTCATCTTTTATCGTTGTCAATTTTTGATATTGTCGTATTGTTGTTGTTTTTGTGAAATACACAAAAAATGGGTAAGATTTCTTCCTTCAGCATTATTTATTTATTGTTAGACTTTAAATATGTTCTATCGCGTGATAGAAAATCGATTAGAGAGAATGGCGAAGCGGAGCAATTATTTAATTATTATTGAACTTTGTATGTGTTTTATCATTTGTTAGTTTTTGATGTGGTCAAAACTGTTGTTTGTTACAAATAGATTCTAGAGGATGGAAAAGCTTTGAATCTTTCCTTCTAGATCAATTGTTTATAAACGTTACACTATGATTATGTTTTATCTTGTGTTGATATTGTTGTTGTCTTTGTGAAATACAATAAAAAAAATATGATGAGACTGGTTCTTTCCTTCTGGATCTATTGTTCAATTATCTTACAGTTAGTTTTTCGATATTGTTGTTGTTGTTGTTTGTTGTTGTCTTTCAGTGGTGGAGGCGGCGGTGGGGTTCGGACGCTGGACGCGCGCTTGCGTTACCATCGCGGAGCTCACGTGCGGTGCCGGACAGGTGCGTATCGCGCTCGTAACAAGTGCCTCAGTTATGCCTCAGTTCTAGTTGACGCGTTGTTGAGGCTCGTCGCTAACAACATACACATTCAAACACACAGCCGTACACATACATACACACACGCGCGCACACACACTCGAGCACGTATATACAGACGCGCGCGTACCGAGCATTCAAGACAGAGAGGCTGCTTCTGCTGCTGCTGCCGTTGCTGCTGCCGCTGCGCTCCTCACGATCGCGATCTACAGCAGATTCTCTTCTCCGCTTCATCCCAGCATCAATTCTTCCGAATATATCTCCTCACCGCAGACGCAAACCTAGAGCGTAGCGCATTGGGACGACGATCATCTCCAGAGGGTTGCTGCAAATGGTTCGGAAGTAAGGGAACAACGAATTTGGAAGAGGAGACGGTTATTATTTGAGAAGAGAGAAACGCACGAGTAGAAAGAAAAATAGAATTTACAAAATAAAAAATAAATAAATAAATAAGAGAGCCGAAGAATAGTAGTAGGCAGAATAGTGGTGTGAGTGTTTGTGGTGGTGCCATGCTCTAGCAGCCATGATCATATCCAAGGACCTGTTCCTACTCGGAGACCAAGACTATTTGCGCCTCCCTAATAAGGATTCCACTAGACCCAGCATGATACGGCCCAAGACTAATCAAAGGTAGGCGCACTTTTATCTCTCCACTAACTCTCGCACAAACACGCAGCGCACCGTTCCCTTGTTGATTTTCTGATAGCCAACAAAAACCTATTACAACAACGCTGCTCTCTCCATCTCTCATACACACACTCTGTTTCTCCGAGAAAATCAAAACCTTTCAGTTCGAACTGGAGCAACGGATCTCGCCCATCCCCCGGGCTCTCTCTCACAACTCCTAGCACATCCTAATTATATAATTTTTCACAAAACAAATCATTTCAACAACAAAAACTATTAAGTAGAAAGAAGTTTTAGTGTTTTAGTTAAATAATACAAGAAATTTCTTCAGTTCTTTCTTTTTCTGGAACAATTGTTTATTGGTGAGAAATTATTTGATTTGAATTGTGAAAAAGTTTGATTTAAACTGAAAACCGACAAACAAAACTATAAAATTTCAATGTTTAATACCAATCTTTACAATTTTCAGTTTAAATCCAAATTTTTTACAATTCAAATCAAGTAATTTCAATAACAAGAACTATAAAATATGATGACATTAAAATTTCCAACCAATTCTAAATCCTATTTATTTACAATAGGAGAGACAATAAACAAAAGTATACAATTTCAATTTTTAATCTGAATCATTACGGTTTTCAGTTTAAATCCATTTTTTTTCACAATTCAAATCAAATAATTTTAATAAAATATAGACATTTCAACTTCCAATTTACTCTTAACCTCTTGTACATCTTAGTTATTTACGTTAATTTTATCTACACTAGGAGAGACAATAAACAAAACTATACAATTTCAATTTTTGATCTGAATCATTACGGTTTTCAGTTTAAATCCAATTTTTTCACAATTCAAATCAAATAATTTCAATAAAATATAGACATTTAAATTTCCAATTTGCTCTTAATCTCTTGTACATCTTAGTTATTTACGTTAATTTTATCTACAAATAAAAGAGACAATAAACAAAACTATACAATTTCAATTTTTGATCTGAATCATTACGGTTTTCAGTTTAAATCCATTTTTTTCATAATTCAAATCAAATAATTTCAATAAAATATAGACATTTAAATTTCCAATTTACTCTTAACCTCTTGTACATCTTAGTTATTTACGTTAATTTTATCTACAAATAGGAGAGACAACAACCAAAACTATACAATTTCAATTTTTGATCTCAATTTTCAGTTTAAATCTAATTTTTCACAATTCAAATAAAATAATTTCAATAACCAGAACTATACAAAATATATTTACGTACATTTTTTTTTTTTAATTCTATATAAACTATATAAAATTTCGTATTTTATTTATGAAAAATAAAAATTACAATAAAAGTTTTAGTTTTTGAGTAAAAAGAACATTTACGATTTGCAGTTTACGTAAAAATGATTATAATACAAATACTTTAATTCATTCTTTCAACTCTTATTATGTGTATTTTTTTTTATTTTAGTTGACTTCATTAACAAAAATCTATACAAAGTTCCTATTTTTTTTTAATACAAATAAAATTTACGTTTTCTATTTATTATAATTGCAAATTTTTTCTATTGTAGAATCAATTCAGTAACAAAATTTAGTCTATTCAATTATTCACAACAGAATGTAAAATTATTTCAAATAAGTAAAACGTTTACAACATTTACTGTTTTATTTTTCTCTCAGTTTTTCGCACCCAAAATTAAATAACTGGGGCACCTACCTATTACCACTTTTATTTCGTTTCTGCTACACTTAAACCAGTTCCAAACTTATTATAATCACCTGGACAACTAATTCTATATACAAACCTGATCTTGTCCACAAAAAGAAAGAAGTTACTACTATTCATTGCGCCAACAGAATTCCTCCACTTCCATAGTAATTTTCAACTTAAATTTAATTAAATACATTACATATACATAATTTACTTACAAAATACTTGATTTTATAAATAATAAATTAATTTTTGGACAGAAAGAACTTTGGTCGTATAAAATTACGCTCTTATATAAAGAAACGTTGAAGTGTTGAAACATACAAAAAAAAATCATCAAAATTTATAGGTCTATAAAATGTAGTAAATAAATCACTCTTAATACAAAAAAAAATGTATTGTAATTTCTATTTCTATTCATGTCAAGGAAGAATCATTTAGATTTTCTCAACTTGAAATAATTTATGAATGAAAGAATTCAAAATATTACAAATTTTTACTTAATTAACTACAAAAAATGTTATAGTAGATAAATTACAAAAAAAAATGCATTTTATGTAGTGAATATTCGTAGTGAATCTATTAATATAATTTCGTGAGAAAGTTATATAAACATAAAGAACAGATAAATAATAGTAGTGTACGTGTTTATGAACTAACTAAATACGTTACACCCATATAAAGTGAACTTCATATATTTGTTTATTTAAAGAGATAGGCATTGTTATTAATATTAAACGGCGGCAGTGAGAAACACGTTCGATAGTAAGAGGCATTATGTAAACTGTTTATTAGATAAACTTACGTAAATCTGCTGCGACCGTCAATGAAAAATACGTGATTTTCATTGAATTTTGTTGACAACAAGAGAATCAGGTCAATAACCTGTCTCTAAACAACAATAGTCTCTGTGTATGAATTAATAAATCATTGATATCGCTTTTATAATAAGCAAAAACCATATACAAACATATTCAGAATTACGAACATAAAAATTGATTTGAAATAGTTTTGAATAAACGTTAATTCTTCTATAAAACTATGATTTCATTGCTTAAGAGAAAAATTAGAGACAACTATGTTTATTTAATTAGTTAGTAGTTGAAATAATTGTTATTTATGGAATTTGCAACGAATGTTATAGAAATAACGATAAAAATGCGATTAAATATGTTATTATTGTGTGTGTGTATGCTAAGGTCGATATCCTCCAGTAAATAATGCTCATTCTCTTCTAACGCACATATTTTAATTCCTTCGGAAGCTACACAACTATATATATATTTTTTTTTCCTGTTTACATTTCTCATAGGAACTGTTAGGCTTTTAATTAGAACCACCATAAATTCACATACGCTTATGCCACGTAACTGTAATTTTTTTTTCTTCTTCTGTCGAAAGGATTGCAATGGCGTTTAGCGACTCCGTAATTATTACTTCTTCTTTTTTTTTGGAGTTCTCTTCATGTAAATCACGACCGGATCTCTAACTTAAAGTTTAAATAGGCGTTTAAAAGCGTGTGCTGTGTACTTTTTGATGAAACCCGAAGCCAGTTTTCGATGATGATCTTTGATGGTTTCGGGACGTTCGAATTGTTGTCTGTAACAAAAACTTTGAAAGATCTTACGAATTTGCAAGTAACTTGCCAAGTATTGCGTAGTTTATGTAACCATGATCATTGTTGGTTGCCGCACGTTCGAATTGTTTTAAAAAAGTTGAAAGAACAGTACACCTGTTTATTGATACAATATTACGAGTTCGCAAGTAACTTGCCAAGTATTGCATAGTTTATATAACTATGATACTTGATGCTTTCAGGACGTTCGAATTGTTGTCCGTGTCAAAAAAGATGAAAGAACGATACACTTGTTAATTATTCCAATATTACGTATTCGCAAGTAGTTTGCCAAGTATTGTGTAGTTTATATAATTATGATCATTGTTGGTTTCGGGACGTTCGAATTGTTGTCCATGCGAAAAAGTTGAAAAAACGATATATCTGTTTATTTTTTGAATCTTATAAATTTGCAAGTAACTTGCCAAGTATTGCGTAGTTTATATAACTATGATCATTGATGGTTGTGGCACGTTCCAATTCTGGCAAAAAAGTTCAAAGAAATATTGGAATAATAAACATGTGTATTGTACACATGTTTATTATTCCAATATTTCAAATTCGCAAGTAATTTGTCAAGTATTGCGTAGATTACATAACTATGATCATTGATGCTTTCAAGACATTCAAATTATTGTCCGTGCCAAAATAGTTGAAAAAACGATACACCTGTTCATTATTTCTATCTTACGAATTCGCAACTAACTTGCCAAGTATTGCGTAGTTTGTATTACTATAATATTTGATGCTTTCAGAACATTCTAATTATTGTCCGTGCCAAAATAGTTGAAAGAACGATACACCTGTTTATTATTTCAATCTTACTAATTCGCAACTTGTTCGTTACTTGCCAAATATCGCGTAATGTTGCATAGTTTATATAACTATTATGTAAGTAACAACAATTCATGTATTAAGTACTAACTTTTTATTTATTAATACTATTTAGTATGTAGTCAAGAAGTTGGTGTAGTGCGTCAGGACTACTACTACATTGCTCCATCCATACAGCATATCAAAAATAAAGTCGCAGTGAATCACCGAATTGGTAATAACTTTATATTTAATTTGCATAAGAAAAAAAAAACGAGAAGAAATATCACCTTGGACGATGTTCAAATATTCGAGGAAAAAAAATTAGAGAAACAGAAAAAAAAACTTGAAGCTGGTTATAATAATAAACGGAGATTGTAATATCGAATCGTTGCTCTGGTAATCAATACTTCCAAATTAATTTGTATTTGAAATTGTATTGTACTTGGCAAGTATTTGTGAATGTTGTGTGCAAGAGACGAACAATTGTTCTTTACTGCAATAGCTTGCATAATACGGTTTTGATTAATCCGGATTCACTATCAAATTAATTTCATTGAATTCCTCGATTAGTCCGGTTTCAAACAATTATTGTTCCTGGCAAGTTCTTGTTATTTATAAGTAATATTAATTGGAAAATAATTCTACTACATGTTTGATAAATACACCAATACCTCGCATAGTCCGGCTTCGATTAATCCGGATTCACTAAATTAGTACATTAATGATGTAGTCGATTAGTCCGGTTTCAGACAGCCCAGAATAATTTACTTAATTGATACTTACTAAGTTAATTATACTTGGCAAGTATTTGTACCTTTAGATATTTGAAATTATTGATAGTTTCAAAGTAATTCTAGTAGTTTTAAGAAG